CCGGGTAACGCGTACTTTTGTTATGCACTTCGCAGTAGCCAATGTAACGTGTTGGTAGTTTGCAGCGTACATTGAAAAGCAGTTGCTAAGGATCATGTGATGTCATTTATAAAGGTAGACCATTTATCTGCCACCGTGTGATTGTGTGCACTTTTTCAAGATGTATTTACAGTACAGTACTTTAAATGTTACACTTGTTGTAGAGTGTGTGTATGGCCTGACACGCGCCCTTGAGTGCTAATTAAATCTTAGTTCCACGCGAATCCTGAACTTCCGCGAGGAATGTGCATAAATGTGCATTGTTGTACTGCACTCTGCTCGAACATCTACGCTTCCCTGCCTTTACAAATCCGCACTGACCCAGCGTGGTAAAGTATAGTAAAAACACACACACATATGTCTACTATTCGTTTTTTGTTTGCATTATGACTGCAGGTATTGTGGTCTATGTAAACATTACTCCATATAAAAAAAAAAGGTGTCAGTTTTGTTGCCAGATAGAAGAGTAAAAAACCAATTATATTTTTTTTACTGGCAAATGAGGTTCCAATGGTGTCAATATCGGTGGAGAGTTACAATGTTTAATAAGTGCACGGAGATTTGTGGAAGACACGTAGAATACTTCGGAATACGAAACAAATCTCTTCTGTAATGTATTCCCTTAATTAAATTACTGTCTGCAGAATCATCACAATAATCTAATTTGTAGGTAAATCCTCTGACATCCCTGCAAATGAGATGCATAATCGCATTTGATCTCGGTGAATCCATGTGGCGCTATTGTGGTGACATTCAACACTCAGCCACGCGGAGCGAGGTTCAATTCCCCTTGTGCCCACGTGTGATATTTATCACTTTTTGTTGCATCAAAAAGCGACTTCTATGTGCTAATTTTACTCGTAAGATGGCTAAGAGTGGCGGTTGTATTTACAAGTCGCGTCCATCTTTACTTGGCTTAAGGCAACACGAAAAACAAGGGACAAGACTTCGATTTAAAGCTTTCGTGACTGCAGGGATTCATCTTCTTGGTTCTTTCGGTAAAATCACGTAGAAGGGAAATAATAAAATAATAAAAATTTTACATAATAAAATAATTCTCACGACGTTTCGGCCACAACGTAAGCAGCCGTCCTCAGGTGAAGAACAGGTCTGTCGGAAAGACAGCGTCTGAATGAGACGCTGCTTGCGTTGTGGCCGAAACGTCGTGAGAATTATTTTTATAATGTTTTATTTTTATTATTTTATTATTTCCCTTCTACGTGACTTTACCGAAATAACCAAGAAGAAGGGACAAGACGTTCCCGTACGATTATTACGTTCCGTATTCCTGCCAATCTCACAAACAGATGGAGAGCGATGACGAAGCCTGTTCAGTGGCTTCCTTCGTGCAAGGAGCTTGAATAGAGCAGTTTGACGTCAATGCCCACGCTTGTACACAAATGTGTGCACGTTCTTTGGCACTTATCGTGACGGGTAGTGCAAGATCCGACCATGTTCCTCCGGTTGCCGGAGGAACACGTTGGAAGGTCGCTACATCACGCACAAAGTGCTCGTCACAAATGAACCACAATACCGTGATGATCTCGTGAAGGGGCATACACCATCACGCGAACTCCGGTGGTCATCCTCGCAACAGCCGCTTATGGTTGACCATCACGCGCTTTCAGATGCGCTTCTGCGGCCGTCTGGAACGCTCTTCCAATATTAGGAAGCCACTGGAGCTATGCACTTTTAAATCTTCTCCATTGGAAACTCATTTCTTGATAACCGCTTTTTGTATTTTTGTTTGTTGTCCTCCCCCGCACCTTCGATGAGCGCGGTTGGCTACGTACGGTGCGAAAGAAGCTCAACACACACACACGCACACACCTGGAGGCGCATCCTGACACCCGATCCCAGCGTTTCCTTGAGGCTGAGTCGACCTAAGGGAGGCCCAGGACCAATGAACATAATGGTCACTGGTACTGGTGTTGGTGTTGGCCTGTGAGCGGCTATCGAAACTCGGGTCGCCGGGTTTGTAGCGCGCTGACCGTTGCACTACTACCGCTCCAAACACAAATATCACCCGTGTAGCCTTAACAGACTGTTTGGGCAAGTGCTGTGAGCGAGCACCTATAAAGGCCGGAACGGTAAACGAGGGTGTGGGTGGCCAGCACCACGCCCGACCGCCTTTGTCCCCCAGTAGCGATATTTACACACCGCACCAGGTACTCATATGAGGCTGAGTCGACCTAGGGGAGGCTCAGGACCGGTTCAAATCATCGTCACTGGTGTTGGCCGTGAGCGGGAATCGAACCAGGCAGGGTCGCCGGGTTCATAGCGCAGCGCACTAACCGCTACACCACCGCTCCGCACACACAAACACACCCCGACTGAAAAGAACAAGAAAAAAAAATCTAAATTGTGTGGAAATAAAAGCACGATACAAAAGAAAGAAATTTAAGACATCATAGCGAGAAAGGATTCATTCACCAACGGCATCTCAAGGACACCACTAGAGCAGAAAGGCCGAAGCAATCCGTGAACCCGTGGCCTCGACCGTCAGTCAAGAAGCACGTGGAGCTCGCGTCGAGCTTGGCAGGTCGGGCCTATGGGCTCCTGCGCTCAGCCAGCCGTAGCCGTGCGTGATTTAAAACAAAAGTGTAGCACGTGTCATGCTGGACGCGTTCGTGCGCGCTCTCATTTTGAAACATTATTTGCCAACAATTATTCGTTAAGCAAAATGTTTTGTTAAAAGAAAATAATTCGTTTATTTAAAAGTTCCCAAAAATATGTTAACCCATCCCCCACCTACCCCCACCGAATATTCTGCACGTCTCGATGTGGGATCGTTGTGTGTAAGTGTGCGTGTGTGAAAGTGTGCGTGTGTGTGCGTGTGTGTAAGTGTGCGTGTGTGTAAGTGTGCGTGTGCGTGTGGGGAGCGGTGGTGTAGCGGTTAGCGCGCTGTGCTACCAACCTGGCGATCCGGGTTCGCTTCCCGCTCACGGCCAACACCAGTGGCGATTATTTGAACCGGTCCTGGACCTCCCCTAGGTCGACTCAGGCTAAAATGAGCACCTGGTGCGGTGTGTAAACATCGCTACTAGGGAGACAAAGGCGGCCGGGCGTGGTGTTAACCACCCACCCCCTCGTGTGCCGTTCCGGCCTTCATAGGTGCTCGCTAACAGCACTTGGCCTAACAGTCTGCTAAGGCTATACTGGGGGATTTTTGTCTCGTGCGTACAACAAATGAGAAAGAGGGTGCAAAGCTGTATTTTGTTGCTGGCCATCGAACAAAGACTGTCACCGCATCGCGCGCTTTCAGATGCGCTTCTGTGGCCGTCTGGAACGCTCTTCCTTCCGATATTAGGAACCCACTGGAGCTGAGCACTTTTAAATCATCTAGATTGACAAACTCAGTTCTTTAGAAGTTCTTTTTGCGCCTAATTTGTCGTCTCCCCCCCCCCCCCCCCCACGTACGGTGCGAAAGAAGTTCAACGTACGTCCAGTACGTACATGGGACGTTGACTCCTGCACACGGCGGTCTTGAACTTTGCACGGCTGTTGGAGTGACCCTCTGCGCACAATAAAATGTTGCAAAGCGGAGCAGCGTTTCAACCAACACCCTGACTCCTTCTGTGCCGCGTGTTATTCAGCCTGGTGTCCGACGTTTCGCTCCACGTGCTGGGGAACTTCTTCAGTTCCCGAACAAGCCCCTCCCCCCCCCTCCCCACCAGCATACGTGGAGAGGAACGCGGCACACATCGTGCCGAACAATGCGCAGTCCAACCCGACATACGCACCGGGGAGCTGACACAGGAACTACCGCGGAGACGTATCGAGTGGAATGTCAATGCGCGTTTATAGCAGATGCGCCCGTGGGCTGTTCACGCGTTAGCCCCAAGGACACTGAAGCAAATAGACATCAATCTCTGGCCATGACCACCATCCGTGCACTCTGACAATTAAAGCTCCGCTGAGAGCCTGAGATTGGCACTCCCCTCCCCCCTGGCAGTGCCACCGTGCGTAAGGGCCCTCAAAGAGGCGTTTTAATGGACTCGCTTATTTATACCACCGCGCGGACGCTAATGAAGAAATATTGAATTCGAGAGGCTCAAGATCTTCTTCAATTCCTCACGAGGACCGTTACTTGTGTTTTTTTTCTTCACGAGAACAAGCGCACTGGGACACGCGCACACGCACAGGGCGATGGCTGTACAATAATGAAAACGATATATATACTTAAGAAGCTGGTTCAATGTACGGTTAAGCGTTAAGTCGAGTAGTAATTGAACAGCCGTGCTGTTAACCCGCGACTGAACGAAGCCTTCCCCACGCCTCTTCGGTTTTGAGGGTTGTTTGTTGACCATTGCCTCGGCGTGCTGATCAGTGCGGGTTGGTGCGGGGCAGGTCAGGCAGGGCCAGTTCAGATGTCGATTCAACTAAACTATTTTTATTTGACCAGGTAAGGTCCCACTGAGCTATGTAGCTCTTCTTCAGAAGCGACCTGGCCGCAAATGATAGCAGCCACGAAGTGGCTTATCGCGTGCAAATGTATAGCAGCCAAAGACTCTAAACGCAAGTCTATTGTAAATGTTTGGGGCTAAACCCCGAACTACCCGGAGAAAAATCCACGCGACCACGGGGAGGCCGTTGCCACTGATGTTAGCCGTGACCGGGAACGGAACGCGGGTTCACAGTACCGCACGTTACCTTTCCCTCCTCCGACTGGATGACATTCGACCGCCGTAAATCCGAACCGCGATTTGGAAGACAATGGGTGGGCGGAGCCAAAACGGCGACAACAATAGGCGACCTCTGAACCCTGGCCGCTCGCGCGCACGCACGCGTCTTGAGAACGCCAAACTCGCAAGTCCAGAGGCGCGCGCCACGTGGGTGGCGCGCGCCCGTCACAAAAATCCGCCCGCCCGCCAGCCTTGGGAAGGCGGTAACGGGACACTTGGGGGTGTGCTGCGTGTGGTTGCAGAGCGAGATATATAAGTGTGTGTCTGTGTGTGTCTGTCTGCGCGTGTGGAAAGAGGGGGTCCCGGGAGGGCACGGAGGATAAAGACGCGCGGTCGCCAGACGGGAGACGCGGACTGCAGCCTCTAGCTCGCTGTGCTTTGCAAGCCAGGTGAGATGTACAGACACACACACACACTGGTTGGACTGCGTGTGTGTGTGGTCCTTTAATGTGGGGAGCGGTCGTTTAGCGGTCAGCGCGCTGTACTCCGAACTCGGTGACCCGAGTTCGATTCCCGCTCACGGCAAACATCAGTGACGATTTTCTTAACCGGTCCTGGAACTCCCCTAGGTCAACCCAGCCTCAAATAAGGTACCTGGGGCGGTGTATAGACATCGCCACTGGGGAGACAAAGGCGGTCCAGCGTGGTGCTGGCCACACATCCTCTCATGTGCCGTGCCGACCTTCATAGGTGGTCGTTACCAGCACTTCCCATAACAGTCTGTTACAGGCTAAACAGGGGATCTTTGTATTGTTTTGGCCCCTTCCTAATCCACTGCTGGATTAAAGCCTGCCCGAGCCGTGTCCATACTTCACCACGCTGGTCGCTGGGAGGTGGCGAAGTGGGGGACCCAAGATGGATGAACCTGGTGGCCTGAATTTGATTCCTGGCCAATACCAACACAAGAGTGAAGAGTGAGTCATATTTGAACCGATCCGGGGCACCCCATTCACCAGCCTGCATTGACCAGCACGGGGAAGTGTGGTGGTAAACAAAAACAACCCACAACTGACTTACCATGGGGGAGTCTTCATCTAATAGTGAAATTTTGATTAAATTAAATTATCTACACTATGGGGACCTCATTTGCCAGTAAAAATATGATAATTGGTTCTTTACCCTTCTATCTGGCAACAAAACTGACACCTTTTTGCAAGGAGTCATGTTTGCATAGACCGCAATACCTGCAGTCATAAATACAAACAAAAGACATAACTCTGATAATGTGCACTGTCCTTGAAGTTGATTGGTCCACACCCGAGACAGCTTTCCTTCGAGCCTAGTCTCATATGGGTTGGACCAGATGACGCCAAAAGGCGCACTTTTGGCGTCATCTGGTCCAACCCATATGAGACTAGGCTCGAAGGAAAGCTGTCTCGGGTGTGGACCAATCAACTTCAAGGACAGTGCACATTATCAGAGTTATGTCTTTTGTTTGTATTTATGACTGCAGGTATTGCGGTCTATGCAAACATGACTCCTTGCAAAAAGGTGTCAGTTTTGTTGCCAGATAGAAGGGTAAAGAACCAATTATTAAATTAAATTAATTTCATTATTTTTTATGTAAACAAATGAAGTGCATTGTAATGATTATTAATATATCTGTGTTCTTAGTAGGTTTTAGTAGTACAGCGAATAACAACACTTTGTATTTTACGTAGCTGCAGTGCTAAAATTAGTTGATAAACTTTACAATTGATTTGGGGGTGCGAGGCTACAGTGACAAGAACAAGCTCGAGAAGGGATAGGGAAGGAGGGAGTGCGAGCCAAAGACCTGACACTCAGGCAGATAGATAAATTTGTATTTGCAGTATTTGGTTATATGCCTTTGCCAATCCACTGCTGCATGAAGGCGTCCCCATGCCGTGTCACGGTGGCAAAATATTAACTACCTCGCCTGGTATGCAGGAGGTCGTGGGTTCGATCCATACCCTGCCTGCTGTATATTTAGAGTTTGCATATTCACCCCGTGGTCGCGTGGACTTTCCGAGACCTGCGGTTTATTTCCCTCCACATTTAGAAACGTGCACTTCGAGTATTTCGCTGCTATGCATATCCACATAATAAGCCAATTAGTTGAGCTATCGTTTGCGATAGCCAGGCCGCTTCTGAGAAATTGCTATTCAGCTCAGTGGGCCTTGGCTGGTAAAATAAAAATAGTAGTAATAGTAGTGATGGGGGTTATTTCACCATACTTCACCACCCTGTTCAGTGCGAAGTTGAACTGGGAGGTTACCAAGACCGGTTCAGATATCGCTTGCTGCTGATATCAGCCATGGTCCGGACTCAACCTCAAGTTGCAGGGCTTGCAGCGCAGTGCGCTAAACAATTCGGCCACCGCTCCACACAAGAAGATTAAATAAGATGTATTTATCTTAAAAACAATACAACCCAAATTACGCTTCACTCATAAACATTTACGCCCAAGACTGTTACGGTAATTGCTGATATCGAGTTTCTATTCAGGCTGGATGGTGTGGTCAGATTCACACGAGCCACACTTGGCTCCCTAAAGAGTGATATTTACCGCAAGGTCCCAGGCTTTCTATTTAGGCTCAGCTGACCTTGAAGAGACCCACGCCAGGTACGGTTACCACCAGTGCTTCATTTCAGCCTGAACGGTCTGGAACGCTGTCCCAGGAATTACATTGGCATACTATATCCAGCCTAGCAATGTTCCAGACGTTGTCGAGTGAGAAATTAAACTATGTTCACCGTCAATAACAAGGAATACAACACTGGTGATTGCGGTCCGTAGTGCAGTTCCCTAACCACAATGCAATTGCCATTATAGCACTCGCCTTGCGATTCGGAAATTTAGTGTCAATTCAGGTCTGTGGTTCAATTCAGCAATCGATCATTTTGTTTTTACATTTCAGTGACTGTTAGCGGCCATAAATGCCAGGGCTAGGTGCACTCTGATGAAGCATCTAACGTTCACCGACAGATATTCAGGGAGACGCGACATCTTGGTGTGAACGGGTTCGTGGGCCTTCGTGAGCACGTGGCCTGCAATCATAGACACAACATCCATCTGCTCGTGCCCTCTTGGTTTAATATCGTATTCTCTGGATTATACGATGCAGTCCCCCCCCCCCGCTCCCTTGTATTTTAAAGCAAATCTTGGGGGGCTCATATTATAATGTCTCAGTGCGGTCGGCGCGCACGTGAAACCATGGAGATTCGTATAACTTTACTGAGCACCGCTCACAAGTGTTGTGGTTTGTGTTTATTTTCCCGAGACACTTATAATCCGGAGGACACGTTATTCCCGACCACCACCACCACCTCTAACCCCGCTGCCCATGTTGCTGTGAGCACTGCAGTCAGAGCCTCATCCTCAATGCCATAAACAGAGACCGCCCAGCTGTAGCGTGCCATCAGTCGCAGGCAGAGACGGTGCCTCAACATTCCTGTGCTCTGTTGAGGGCCCCGAGAGCAAATGGCAGGTCAGGGAGATGGGGTTTCTCCTCGTACGGGGGCAACGATGTTTCTTCTCGGGTTCCCAATGGACAACTTGACTCATTGCTTGAGCGACGAGTGTTGCGTGTTTTCTTTATTTTAGACCCATACCTCATTTCTCAATTCTTTTGTTGTGTTGGTTTTTGTGTTACCGCCCTGGCAATAGTGACACAAACAACTAAACTTTAACGCATTCATCAATGACACTGACCTCAAGAGGAAAACAAACAGGCGACGTTTCGAGCAGCAGAAGGGCAACTACCAGAAACGTCATTTTATAACCTATCTTGGAGTTATACATATAATTAACTCTTACAAAATATGTTGTATCAAGGATTATTGATCTGTATTGCATAATGTCCAAATACTGCCTGATGCTGGTGTGACCCGGGTTCGTACCCACGAGTATCGCGCTAACCGCTGCGCCACCGCTCCCCCCGCACTTTTACGGGCGCACACGCAGGGCAGGAGAGGGAGGTCGGGCATGGCGGGGGGCAGCCCCGTGGCGGGGCAGCAGCAGCCGCCGCCGTGGGGGTCGTCGGCTCCCGGCAAGGGCGGCTCGGGCGGGGGCGCGGTGCTGCGCGCCGTGGAGTCCATCAGTGACCTGTACCGCACGCCCTCGTTCTTCCTGCAGCGAGCCAGGGCGGCACGCGCGCGTGAGCACGGGACATCCACGGCGACAGAGACACCGCAAAGTCCACAAACACAGCAGGCGTCAGGGTCGGGGGTCGAACCCACGACCTCCTGTATACCAGGCGAGGTAGTTAACATCTCGTCAGGGTCGGGATCGAACCCACGACCTCCTGTATACCAGGCGAGGTAGTTAACGTTTCATCAGGGTCAGGATCGAACCCACGACCTCCTGTATAGCAGGCGAGGTAGTTAACATCTCATCAGGGTCAGCAGCGAACCCAAGACCTCCTGTATACCAGGCGAGGTGGTTAACATCTCATCAGGGTCAGGATCGAACCCACGACCTCTTGTATACCAGGCGAGGTAGTTAACACCTCATCAGGGTCGGGGTCGAACCCACGACCTCCTGTATACCAGGCGAGGTGGTTAACATCTCATCAGGGTCAGGATCGAACCCACGACCTCCTGTATAGCAGGCAAGGTAGTTAACATCTCATCAGGGTCAGGATCGAACCCACGACCTCCTGTATACCAGGCGAGGTAGTTAACACCTCATCAGGGTCAGGATCGAACCCACGACCTCCTGTATACCAGGCGAGGTGGTTAACATCTCATCAGGGTCAGGATCGAACCCACGACCTCCTGTATAGCAGGCAAGGTAGTTAACATCTCATCAGGGTCAGGATCGAACCCACGACCTCCTGTATACCAGGCGAGGTGGTTAACATCTCGTCACCGCGGCACTTCCCGGTATTTGTCATCTCACAAGGATGTTATGAATGGGAAGAGGGAGCCACACAAAGCGTTTCTGCTTCGAGCTCTCGGCGGGCCAGCACCATCACTGGCCTTGCATTCTCAGACGTGGTCAGTTCCGCAGATATGGAGAGTGGTTGAATTTTGACTTAAAACTTTCGTGACTGCAAGAATTCATATTCCTTGGTTCTTTCGGTAACGTCACGTAGATATATATTTTTTTAATGAAAACCAAAAACTCACCACGTTTCGATCGCAACACAAGCGGGCGTCATCAGGCGACCGCTTGTGTTGCGATCGAAACGTCGTAGTTTTATTTTATTTTCCATCCACGTGACTTTACCGAAAGAACCAAAGAACATGCAGAGTGGTGTTTAACGCATAGGCTTTCGCAACCAATTTTATTCTTAATAAAGTTTTATTTTACTAGATCGCGTAAGTATAAATGTGTCGTGACCCTCCACCACCCGACAGAGCCAGTGAGGTTTGTCACGTAAACAAAACGCGCCACTTAGTTTACTACTTCAGCCCCCCGGTGGTGTTGAGAGGCAATTGTAAATGTTGTGGATTTCATCTCCAGCACAGCGGTTGGGCTGGAGTAGTGAACTAATTATCCATCCAAGATGCACGACGAGGCAGCTAATGGCAACATGGACAATGCGAGACCTGCATGGCATGCGGCGTCATCGCCTTAGACAAATAACCCTACACATTTAGCGCTGGTTTTTATCGGCAAGTTATTTTTTTTGCTGCCAAGCCTGTGATCAATGCGACCAGGGTTTCTTGGGGGTAACTACCGAACAGCAACTGCATCTTTACACACGATAACATCGATTTTATATTCGATCATCATTATGACACCTAACCAGCACTTAAACGTTCAGAGACGAGACGGACTAAGCGTTTGACCTTAGTCGGGGTGCGTTCGTCAAAAAAAAAAAAACGGTGGTAAATTTCTTATTCTGGCAACTGCATTCCCCAACTCAAATGTGGGTAAAGTAACAACCGAGGCATCCTCTCGCGTCGTGCTGTCATCGCTTGCACTGCAGGCGGGAACAGCAACGCCGATGCCACCGTCGCCACCGACTCCTCCACGGCGAAACCTCCGCCAAGAATGGGGGGCTCCGCGCAGTGGACGGCGGCGGCCCCCCTCTTCAACGACGAGGACGACTGGGAACCGGCGTGGAAGGATCTGCCGATTCCACCACTTACGCCGTCACCGCCATCGCAACCACCGCAACCACCGCATTGCCTCGAGGACTCCAGCTCCGTCCAGCGCCCAGCCTCGTGCTGCCCCTGCAGCGTCAGACTTCTCCTCTACCTGCTGCTCCTCGTGTCTCTGCTGAGCCTCGCCGTGGCTGCGTGCGCCCTCTACTGGGCCGGTAAGGAGGGAGCCGCTGACTCCAACCCACCAGCCGCTCGTCTCTCGCTGCCGCCACACGCCTACTGCGGAGTGTTTGGTGACGCCGCTGCTGCTGCTTCTGCTGCTGCTGCTTCTTCTGCTGCTGCTTCTTCTGCTGATGTTGCTGCTTCTGCTGCTGCTGCTTCTTCTGCTTCTTCTGCTGTTGCTGCTTCTTCTGCTGCTGCTGTTTCTTCTACTGCTGCTGCTTCTACTGTTGTTACTGCTTCTTTTTATGCTGCTTCTTCTTCTGCTGCTGCTTCTTCTGCTGCTGCTTCTTCTGCTGTTGCTGCTTCTTCTGCTGCTGCTGTTTCTTCTACTGCTGCTGCTTCTACTGTTGTTACTGCTTCTTTTTATGCTGCTTCTTCTTCTGTTGCTGCTGCTTCTTCTGCTGCTGCTTCTGCTGCTGCTTCTTCTGCTGCTGCTTCTTCTGCTGCTGCTGCTTCTGCTGCTGCTTCTTCTGCTGCTGCTGCTTCTGCTGCTGCTTCTGCTGCTGCTGCTGCTTCTGCTGCTGCTGCTGCTTCTGCTGCTGCTGCTTCTGCTGCTGCTGCTGCTTCTGCTGCTGCTGCTTCTGCTTCTTCTACTGCTGCTGCTTCTACTGCTGCTACTGCTTCTTTTTATGCTGCTTCTTCTTCTGCTGCTGCTGCTTCTGCTACTTCTTCTGCTGTTGCTGCTTCTACTGTTGTTACTGCTTCTTTTTATGCTGCTTATTCTACTGCTGCTTCTACTGTTGCTACTGCTTTTTTTATGCTGCTTCTTCTTCTGCTGCTGCTTCTTTTACTGCTGCGTTGGCAGTGGTGCACAATCACAATTAACAACAAACTCAAAGCACACTCGTTAAATAACACCGTAGCCTTAAAAGAAGAATATAAAAAGGCTACGTTGGCCCTTCTTCATGGCACACAAATGTGCTATTGACGATGTATGTACAGGACATAAACGTGCCATGAAGAAGGCCCATTGTCCGGAACGTCGCCTATTATGTCCTTTTGATTGTAAGACCATAGTGTTCGAGTGTTAAGTTTGCTCCTCGTTATGCAGGATGTTTGATGCGTCATCTATAGATAACCCCAGTAAAATAACAGAGATTCGTCGTGGAAAAGAACAGCGTTGTGCGTGTTCAAAGCCTCTGCATGCCTCCCACTAACAGTGGCAGCTCGAGCCCATTGGAGACCCTAAGCATAATATATTTTGGCCTCATTAAATAATAACATACCTTTCGTGATGCCCAAGCTACATAGCTCAATTCTAACAGATGTGTGAAACAATGAATGTCATACTTGTTACAATGAGTTTAATTGTGTTATTAGAGTTATACTATTTTGTTTCATTGTTTTCATAAGGATCTCGGTATGATTGCGTATACTGCTATTTTATCACGAATCTGTGGTCCCATTGGCTATTTGGGACCCTATGGTATTGCTTGGGTTTTCTCAATGCCTGGCTCTGCCACTGCTCACCCATCTCAATAATGCACAGGACACGTCTTTAATCTTGAAGCACACTCCTGTGATGCACTCCGTCCAACAAAGCACGAATGATGTTGCTAGTGCCACCCAGAGAGAGAGAGAGAGAAACGTTACAGGAGCTGGAAACATAGACGTACAGTACAACAACTGATATTCCTGCACTGTCTCTCTGTAGTCCACGCCGTAGCCAGCACCCCACCGCAGCCTGTAACACCTGTTATGCATGGTGGCCACACATCCCAGGTTCTGTGCAATTTAGATTGCCTCTTAGCTCTGCTAAATAAAAGAAAAAAAATCGTTATCACGAAAAGAAACGTGATATTTTTTTTACTAACTCCAAATTAGACATGAGTACGTGATCTGCAATCAATCTGTACACTTTAGCAAGCCCTGTGTGTGTGTGTGTTTTTATATAGCGTGGCGCGTTCTTGTCGAAGCTGCCAGTAGCTGTTTGGCTGTTTTGAATAACACTGCAGCAGTAGACTTATTTATACCATAGCTTATGAAAGATGGATGAAGTTCACAGTTCATCCTGAGAACAACTTCTACCTGTGCCGCTGCTGCTGCTACTGCTGTTGCTGCTGCTACTGCTGCTGCTACTGCTGCTGTTGCTGCTGCTACTGCTGCTGCTGTTGCTGCTGCTGTTGCTGCTGCTACTGCTGTTGCTGCTGCTACTGCTGCTGTTGCTGCTGCTGCTGCTACTGCTGTTGCTGCTCCTGCTGTTGCTGCTGCTACTGCTGCTGTTGCTGCTGCTACTGCTGTTGCTGCTGCTACTGCTGCTGTTGCTGCTGCTGCTGCTACTGCTGTTGCTGCTGCTGTTGCTGCTGCTACTGCTGTTGCTGCTGCTACTGCTGCTGCTACTGCTGTTGCTGTTGTTGCTGCTGCTGCTGCTACTGCTGTTGCTGCTACTGCTGCTGCTACTGCTGCTGCTACTGCTGTTGCTGCTGTTGCTGCTGCTGCTGCTCCTGCTGTTGCTGCTGCTACTGCTCCTGCTGTTGCTGCTGCTACTGCTGCTGTTGCTGCTGCTACTGCTGCTGTTGCTGCTGCTGCTGCTACTGCTGTTGCTGCTGTTGCTGTTGCTGCTGCTACTGCTGCTGCTACTGCTGCTGTTGCTGCTGCTGCTACTGCTGTTGCTGCTGCTGTTGCTGCTGCTACTGCTGTTGCTGCTGCTACTGCTGTTGCTGCTGCTACTGCTGCTGTTGCTGCTGCTGCTACTGCTGTTGCTGCTGCTGTTGCTGCTGCTACTGCTGTTGCTGCTGCTACTGCTGCTGCTACTGCTGTTGCTGTTGTTGCTGCTGCTGCTGCTACTGCTGTTGCTGCTACTGCTGCTGCTACTGCTGCTGCTACTGCTGTTGCTGCTGTTGCTGCTGCTGCTGCTCCTGCTGTTGCTGCTGCTACTGCTGCTGCTGCTCCTGCTGTTGCTGCTGCTGTTGCTGTTGCTGCTGCTACTGCTGCTGCTACTGCTGCTGTTGCTGCTGCTGCTGCTGCTGCTACTGCTGTTGCTGCTGCTGTTGCTGCTGCTACTGCTGTTGCTGCTGCTACTGCTGCTGCTACTGCTGTTGCTGTTGCTGCTGCTACTGTTGCTGCTGCTGCTACTGCTGTTGCTGCTGCTACTGCTGCTGTTGCTGCTGCTGCTACTGCTGTTGCTGTTGCTGCTGCTACTGTTGCTGCTGCTGCTACTGCTGCTGTTGCTGCTGCTACTGCTGCTGTTGCTGCTGCTACTGCTGCTGTTGCTGCTGCTGCTACTGCTGTTGCTGCTGCTGCTGCCGCTTCTGCTGCTGTTGTTGCTTCTGCTGCTGCTACTGCTGTTGCTGCTGCTGCTCCTGCTGCTGCTGCCACTGCAGTGATGGCCCACAATGAGACTCGGGGCCTGCGTGGGACCGTGGAGGCGCGGGCGATGGAGGCGGAGCGGCTGGGGGCCCACGACCCCTCCAACGCCGCCGAGGGCCTCCACCTCCCGGGCCACCCGCGTGGCCTCCGGGCCCCGGCCGGCGGCGTCTGGTGACCACCCCACGGTGGCCGCGCGGTGTCCGTCCGTCCGTCCGTCGTCATCACCCGCCGGGACCGCCACGACGCAGCGCAGCGTGCAATGCGACGTCGATTCGTGGCAGCGTCTACGGCAAGCGTTCTTCATTGCGAGGCCCGTCGGCCACTGGCGGCCTCTGATGGCCTTCAGTGCGGCCCCTGACATGCCCCCCCCCTCCCCCCCCCCGACAATACACAAAGAGTGAAAACAACCCCCATCATCAGCATGGTCGTCGTGCTGCTGTCAAAGCCTACAATGGTGTCAATCGTGTGGCGGACCTCACACTGACGATGTCTTATCGGCGAGAGTCGCCCCCCTCTGAAAGTCAGTGAGAAACACTCGACTAAGATGCTACCCCCACCCCCCACCTCAACGAAGCCGTCTACGAGCAGTGGAGGGTTCATTTTGTATAGACGGCAACAAGCACCTCCCGCACTATCTGTGCTTCAGGAAACTACACTGTACGTATGTTGAACCCCTTTCGCATCGTACGTAGCCAACCTTGCTCATTGGAGGTGCTGGGGAAGGACAACTAAACACAAACAGCAAGTTCAGAAGAAATAACTTTTCGATCTCGATTTACAAGTGCATTGCTCCATGTGGCTTCCTAATATCGGAAGGAAGAACAGTTCCATACGGCCGCAGAAGCGCGCCTGAAAATGCGCGGTGCGGTGACCGCCGCCTTTGTTCGACCGTTAGCCAAAAGCGGCCGCTGCGAGGAATGACCGGAGTTTGCGTGGTGGTTTATGCTCTTTGACGAGATCAGAAGCTTGAAAGGATTACCCAGCTGCTGGCCACACGGGCGCTTGAAGCTTGGACCGAGGCTCCAGCAAAGCCGAGATATCCAGCGCCCCGAACCGGGCTGCTGCAAGTGGGGTACAGCAATCCTGGGCCATGCAGCGGAAAGGAGAATGTCTCACGATACCGTAAGAGGGGAGTGCTACACGTGATTTCATCGTCTCGAGTAGTGTATTACTATTATCGTTATGCAACTGACAAAAAACGGAACTATAAAATGTTCTCGCAGAATTCAAAGGACAGCTCAAAGAGATGACGATCCTGGGGAAACCAGGACAGGTGGCAACCTGCATGAGGAAGGCAGTACCTGTGCACTCGCCAGGAGCCCACAGATTGCTTATACGTTCGGGCCCAGGTTGCCCTCATGCTGGGGTGGAGCAGTCCAACCGTGGATAGACGCTGTGCTTTTATACCAGAGCTTTGGGTGAAGAATGTATCACACCGGTGTATGTTAAACCTGCTCCCGACACATTTACCGCAAACGTGGGCATTGAAAAATGAAAATAAAAAGTTAAAGAGTGCACAAATAATTGTTTTTTTACCCTTTTATCTGGCAACAAAACTGACACTTTTTTTTAAAGGGTAAAAAAAAGCAATTATCATATTTTGCTACTGGCAAAGGAGGTTCCAATGGTGTAAATGCTTACGCCGAGCTCTCATACTCTGATGGTGCATTGTCCTTGAGTTGTGTGCCTTTTGGCGTCATCTGGTCCAACACCATGTGAGACTAGGCTCTAAGAGAAGCTGTCTCGGGTGTGGACCAATCAAATTCAAGGACAGTGCATACATCATCAGAGTTGTGTTTTGTGTTTGCATTCCGACCGCAGGTATTGTGGTCAATGCAAACATGACTCCTTGTAAAAAAAAAGGTGTCAGTTTTGTTGCCAGATTAAAGGGTAAAAAAACAATTATCATATTTTGCTACTGGCAAAGGAGGTTCCAATAGTGCACAAATAATCGTGGAGGGGTGGATGCTTTGAATGACACTCAGAGACAGAAGGAAGAACACGCCGATCAGAGAAGACACGCAAGCAAGAGACATCAACTTAACTTTTGATTTAAAGCTTTCATGACTGCAGGGACTATTCTTGGTTCTTTCGGTAAAGTCACGTATAAGGGAAATAATAAAATTATATAAATATAAAACAATAAAAATTCTCACGACGTTTCGACTGCAACACAAGCAATCATCATCAGGTGTGAAATCCACAGCAAGAAAATATGAAAAAAGTGGCGGTCGTTGATTGCTTGTGTTGCAGTCGAAACGTCGTGAGAATTTTTATTGTTTTATATATCTATTATTTTATTATTTCCCTTCTACGTGACTTTACCGAAAGAACCAAGAATATCAACTTAACTGTTTAGGAGACGTGAGTGGGCTCAGGCAGCACATGTGTTACTTGGTTGTGACGATTGCCAGGTGGTCGAGACTAGCCATGGAGTGGCAGCTAAGGGGGGGACGCCAACCGCAGAGATGAAGCGACGAGATTAACATCTGACAGTGGAATTGGTTCGCGCAAGCCTGACTCTGCTGATGAGATGATGTACGTTCGAAGCCGGTCCCAGACTGCTACCTGTGTAAAGACGACTTGATACACTTTTCTTGAGATGTTTTTTTTTATTGAAGACGCGTTCACTCGAACAGGCGGAGGCCCCACTGCAACAGCCTCGAGTCTCCCCGTGCTTCTCCCTTATATACGGACCGAGACCACGCCCCCATTCTCGAACCTTCTCGCTGACTCTGGATGCTCGCTCCATCGGCAGACTCCACCGCCCTCTTCCGTCACCAGACCACGCTCCCTTTTCGATCATTCCCGTAGCCACCAATCCCTTCACACTCACAACTGACTACCCTGTCATTACCTCCCGTGGCCACTAGTCCATTCGCACTGCAGGCTGACTCCCCTGTCATTACCTCCCGTGGCCACTAGTCCATTCGCACTGCAGGCTGACTCCCCTGTCATTATCTCCCATGGCCACTAGTCCATTCACACTGCAGGCTGACTCCCCTGTCTTTACCTCCCATGGCCACTAGTCCACTCACACCGCGGGTAGACTCCCCTGTCATTACCTCCCGTGGCCACTAGTCCACTCACACTGCAGGCTGACTCCCCTGTCTTTACCTCCCGTGGCCACTAGTCCACTCACACCGCGGGTAGACTCCCCTGTCATTACCTCCCGTGGCCACTAGTCCACTCACACTGCAGGCTGACTCCCCTGTCTTTACCTCCCGTGGCCACTAGTCCACTCACACCGCGGGTAGACTCCCCTGTCGTTACACTTGTGCTGAATCAACGCTGCTGAGATTGTTCAACCCCAGAAGGCCGCGGGGTCCGATGGGTTTTGTGAGTAATCCTTTTTATTTTTGTTCATGCAGAGAGACAAATACATGAAAGGAGACACCATACGGTCTCTCTATTTTGTTCATGATGAACGTGAAATCGAATTACATTGATTGCTTACCTTCACTCGACGCATGCATGTTAGCGTGAGCCTGACAATCGTGTACATCGACCAATCATGCGTCAATACTCACCGAACTGGAGTGTGCAGCAACAATCAAAATGATTAAGAAATGAAGTCGTCGAAGATACAATTATATTTTATTTATTTGCGTGACAAAATATTCGCCAATTACACATGACACAATAACTTACAATAATTCATATTAACCAAGAAACCGTTCCGAATACTGTACAGGGCGATCCGTTTATAGATGCCTCAAGGCGTGACCCTCTTTAGTTTAGTCTCAATAGGTGATTGAATGCTTTGAAATCGATGGCTATGTCAGGAAAGTGTTAGACGATGTATTAAGGACTAAGGTTGGTGGGAGACGTGTAAAGGTTTAGAATTGAAAGTTAGATTTCTATATAATGTCACCCAATCATTGTAGTTGGGTGTCTATAAACGGATTGCCCTGTACCGTCAACAAACCAATTACGTGTTGATGTGAAGCATTGTGGGTTAAAGCCTATAATAAGCAGAATTCAGTGTTACGTCTCTACATATAAACTCAAGATTGTTTAATCCATCGGCCTATTGGCTTTCAAGATCAATATTATCCATACTCTTTGGTTCTTTCGGTAAAGTCACGTAGGTATAAAATTAAATAGATCACGACGTTTCGGGCGCAACGCAAGCGTCCATCATCAGCAGACCATGCTGTCCCACCTGATGATGGACGCTCGTGTCGCGCCCGAAACGTCGTGATCTATTTTATTTTCTACCCACGTGACTTTACCGAAAGAACCAAAGAGTATGGATTCCTGCAGTCACGAAAGCTTCAAATCAAGATTCAATATTATCCAGTTAAAGCGAGGAAACTGTGGACCGCGTCGTTTCAACCTCAGGGGTCTCATCCGCGGCGTTGAGCCTCGTCAAATAAATGCTGTCGGGTTCATCTTCTTGGTTCTTTCAGTAAAGTCACGTAGAATGGAATAATAAAATAATACAAATTAAACATAATAAAATAATTCTCACGACGTTTCGGCCACAACGCAAACAGCCGTCCTCAGGTGAAGAACAGGTCTGTCGGGAAGACTGAGTCTGAATGACAACCCCAGGCTTGTCGGGTTGCCAGACGTCATTGGCAAGAGCATTCCCTTCGAAACGACGGGACCCTGTTCGGCCAAAACACCGAATAAATAGTGCGTGGCAACTCATTGCGAGCACGACCGCGGAGCATTGCAAGCGATAAGTTGCGTGAATGGGGCGTCTGATCTGTGCCTCCGCGTGCATTTGTGTGGAGACACACACGCAGAGATCAGACGTGGAGACACAGCATGGACGTGTGAACTCGTACAAGTCGACGCGTCCAGATGGAACACGTCACTTGTTGATCACCATCTGAGGACGACACGGCCAGAGTTGGAGGAACGTCTACGGGGCACCAACAGCAGCGAATTCTTCGCGTGATCACGTCATAAGTGCTGTATGTTATTACGTGATCCACGTAATTGTTAACGCGGTTTTATTTGAGCAGATAAGGCTCACTGATTGTAGATTTGAAGCTTTCGTGACTGCAAGTATTCATATTCTTAGGTTTTTTTCGGTAAAGTCACGTAGGTAAAGTCACGTGACTTTACCGAAAAAACCTAAGAATATGAAAGGCTCACTGAGCTATATAGATCGCTTTCAGAAACGACCTGGTCACAAATGAGAGCTTAACGAAGTAGTGGCCGTCCATAAATGACGTCACGCGATTTTGGACGATTTTTGACCCCCTCCCCCCCTCGTCACACGGCGTCACAGAAAGTCAGACCCCCCCCTCAAATATGACGTCACAAAGCTCTGCCCCCCCCCAACCCATATTTCCATTTTGAAAATAAATCATGCTTCAAATCGCTTTCAACTATTGTCATCGTAGTGCGTATTTAATGTGGCGCTGCATTCTGATGTTATAGGAGTGTTGTTATAACAATTAGTGTTGTTATAACAATTCTATATTTATTTAAAGGTGCACATTTTGTCGTGACGTCCCATTTCTCAACCCCCCCCCCCCCTCGTCACACATCGTCACAAATGTCTGACCCCCCCCCCCCCCCAGGTGCGTGACGTCATTTATGGACGGTCCCTGATCACATGGAAAAAGCAGCCAAATACTCTAAACGCACGTGACGTTGATTCTAAATGTGGAGGGGGAAACTCCGGATGGACCCGGAGAAAAATCCACGCGACCACGGGGAGAGAGAGACACCGCAAACTCCAAATGTACAGCAGCAGGCGTCACGTTCGAGATCGAACCCACGACCTCCTGTATATCTGGCGAGGCAGTTCACATCTCGCTATCACGGCACCCACTTGTAGCAGCCATGGGACAGAACATTGTATCGCTCAATATTTACGCACCACTCGTGCTACCGAACTCTGCTCCTGTGACTCATGGTGGGCTGGGTGAAGGGGGGCTTGCTCTCCGTTATCTTTGCAGTGGCGAGCGGAACGCTCTCTTGCTCAGGGGGAGGGGGGTGGTGAGGTGGTGAGGATGTCACGGGGCAGATTCCCGCGCGCTTAAAAATAAACGGGCAGCACTGACGGACGCATCGTAGCTGCAGCACAGACACATTCAGCCGCGCAAAACACCGCGCGCTTTGCCACCGATGCTGCTCATCCTGCTGCTGATCCTGCTGCTGATCCTGCTCCTGCTTGCTGCTGGTGCTGCCAGCAGCAGCAGGAGGCAGCAGCAGATGGCCACGCTAACGCGGGGCCGTCGCGAGAGGCGCGCGTGTACGTGGTGCAAGCCTGCCAATTGGGGGGGGGGGGATGGGGGGGAGGACGCTTATAGCTACTTGCCCTTTACTCAGAAAACCCACAAGCGCAGCTGATCGCTCCCAGACGCCGGCACCAAGATCGGGTCTCGGCGTCCGGCCGTTTGTCGTGACCGGCCAAAGAAGTTGCCCTGCAAAGTCTACAGGCAACCCCACACACACATACAACTCCCATAGGTTTGTGATGGTAATTCGGACCGAAAGGAATACGCAGGGACACGGCACGCAAAGTGATTATTTAATATGACTTTGCGTTAAAGGGCTTTGTGTGGGACGCAAACACGCCATGGGTTTGTGTACTGGCCGTTTGATCCGCACAAAACTGAAAGCTTCCATCAGTTACATTAGCCCGAATATAGGAAAGGATTTCGCATTAACATTACTCCTAGACCCTTTCTTTTACCCTTGTCGACCATCAAATACAAATTAAACATAATACTGGCCGGAACAAATATGGCAAATAACAATAGCGTAAACGTCTCTCGTATTCCTCTCCTGCTGCCCTACGAGCACGTGATTGTATGTTTAGGGTTGCCATGATATAACGACAACACGAGACACATCGTACGATAAAACAGCCGTCCGTATGTACCTTGAACTTCTTTCGCACCGTACGTAGCCAACCGTGCTCATCGAAGGTGCGGAGAGCCATGATAATCGATTTTTCTCAATATCGTCATATCCCGATTTATCATTGCTCGTGTTTTTTTCTGAAATATTGTATTTCTTGACCAAAAAACCCCAACAACTATGAAATGGCAAACTCTTCTTGAACTTGCAAATAGATGAGCTGTTATCTATTAAACTAGTGTAATGCTAGATATTCTTTGGAGCAATTGACGGCGTGGGATTTATATGGCAATTGAATATTGCGTTTATTTGACTTCTTTATTCATCATAAGCATTCCAGATTGCAAAGTTTGCAATTATTATACGACTCGTGGCTGACTCACGTTGCAGTGAACTGCAACGTAATAACTTTAAAGTAAAAGTTTTATCCACACGGGTCAAAAAACGAAGCGCAAAAAAAACCCGTAAACTGACATCACGGTAACCGCCACATCGCGACATTTCATATCGCATCGTGAAAATGTAGATAATGGAGCACGTCTTCTTGGTTCTTTCGGTAAAGTAACGTAGAAGGGAAATAATAAAATAATAAAAATTAAACATAATAACAAGAAAGATTTAAATCGAAATGGTGAACGTATCTATCAATGGGTCTTTCGGTAAAGCCAACGTAGATAGAAAAATTATTTAAAATAAAATAATTAAAAATATATTTATTTTTCTATCTACGTTGCTTTACCGAAAGACCCATAGAATATGTATTCCTGTAGTCACGAAAGCTTTAAGTCAAGACTTATCTATCGAGCATTGCTGCTCCGGTGCTGATGTTTTCTGAGCTACACACAACTCCAATGCTGATCACTCACCAATGCATCTTGACTCAACTGGCCAGAAGGCGACAGGAAAGAGGCAGACGATGCATACTGAAATCTACAACTAGAAATACATTTGTGTTCAATGTACTGTGGAACAATGATATATTCTACTCGGCGAAATGAAGATGTGTTGTTGACACTTCTGATACAGAACCAGACATCTCAAATTATCCTCCCTGGCATGCCTTCAGCTCGTCACATGTCAAACACAAGTTTAACTTTTCACTTTAGAAAGCGAAACAATTGTTTCGTCGTAATATTTAAGTCGGTTAACTCCACGCGTCCGAATACAGATTTTTATTTTATTTCTTGAAGGTCAAAGGTCATTCTGAAGGTTATTCTGACCACTGAAGGTCATTCCGGCTCCAATTAGAACACGTTTGTCAATACAGGGTAATGGTCAGGTTTAATGCCATCTGGTTTGCAACACAAATGCATATTTTCAAACATTCAATGAATATAAATGTTCAAGCCTGACGTTTCTTTGTCGGAGATTGCTTCAGTTTGCTGAGATGGCACTGTTAGTGTTCCCTGCTTAATTTCCACGATTGTGGGAGTGAAGCAGAACGCTCAGCATGTGTTACCGCTGGGCAGTGTTAGAGGACATGGGCTCGGCTCTACAGAGATACCGCACCACCCGAAGAGGTGGCATGAGTCCAAACAGGACTATTTATAATGCGAAGCTCGCCGGTCGACCTTCAATTGTTGCAAAACGTTTAGAAATGACAATATATAATTGTTTTCAATAGATGGACTACAAAAGTATGAACTAAATGAAGAACGTCGAGTTGACGGGTATGAAAGCATGAGCTTTCAAAAACTTGTTTGAGTTACAATTAAGGCATATTTCACATATTCAATATAACTTCTCGCGAAAGATATATTACTCTAAAAGCCCTCGGAAGGACTTCACGACCAGCCGGTATTCACAAACAGAAGCTCACACGCACACGCGCGAACTCGCCTAGTGGCTGAGCATCTCGAAGACGCCGTAGCAGTACAGGAACACGATGGCGAGCGCATAAGCAGCGCAGCATTCCATCACCCCGAAGCGAGTGAGCGACGCCAGGAAGACGAGCAGCAGCAGGACGTGGAGCGTCTTGAAGAGGCCCTCACTCAGCTCGTCAGCCGAGCCCCACCGGGCCGGCTGCGCTACCGCAGAGAGGCCGTTGGCGGAGGCGCCTCCACGGTCGCCTCTCGGCTCGTGGTTGTGGCCGCCGCCACCGCCGATGGCCGCTCCCACGCGGCCGCGGAGGTCACCGACGTCCGGGGCGTGCTCGTGGCGAGCTTCGTTGTTGGAAGCGTCGGAAGACCTCGGGCTGCAGCCGTTGGGTTCGGGCGCGCTGACGAGCGCCTGCGTGTGCGTGCGTGCGCGTGCGTGCGTTTGCACGAGGAGTTACGAGGACCAAAGCACGTGGATCGTCAGGCCAAGGGGCAGCGCGATTTCGCAACCGATCAAATTTCGAGCATGCGTGGTAATGGTCAGGAAGGGTGGTTCGGATGAAACAAAAACGCGGATGAAGGAAACGTACAGAGATGAAACTGTGAAACCAACCATATTTATTGGGTACCTATGCCGAATTTGGGAAAATACGTAGAATGCGCCGTCTGTTTATTTTTGTACAGTTTTGTGTTTGAGTTCACATGGGCACTGACGCCGGCCCTCAACGAGTGAGGAGCAGCCACTAAAATAATCGGCGTGTGCGTAAAACGAGATAAATGTTTGTCGCACGACAGTCAATTAGATATTCGAAGTCTCAGATGGTGGAATTCTAGGCATATTAAATGCAGGACCAACTTGAATGTAATGGCGGGTGTTTGTGTGTGGTCATTGGTGGGCGAGCTTAGACCATCACCTATCGATACTTGAGAACCCGGCTGAAGGTTGGATTCACTGCCAGGATCTAGGCGATGTCAGCAAAGGTGTGCTCACAAAGAGCAGGGAGGCCGAATTCCCATCATGCCTTGTGTGCACGTCATGTGACCACCACATTGCATGTACAATGTCCTCAGCCTTGCCAAGACCACCAGCTATAAATAGGGACAAGCGTGTGGCCGTCTTTTTGTTGAGGCCACAAACTCACAAAGAGTTGAAAATGCGATTCCAGCTCAGCTGTTTGAGCTCTGACAAAACCCGGCCACCTCCATAGCTGCGGATGTTGAGACACAGAGGTGATGAAGTTATTGGCTCTGCATTGCTACCGCGCATTTAGTGATATTGATGACACCATTGAGTCCACATGTGGCGCTAAGAAGTGAGTTTATTTATTTATTTATTTCAAGTCTGTCAATATGCTTTATTTAACTAAGGGATGAAATAAAACCAGCGAGACACGTGAAACGTAGCCTTTTTTGCAACAAGATCTGCATGTGCTCAGCCAGTTGCAGATGCTGCAAGAATGTTCAGACTTGAACGGGGGCCGAACGTGTTTCCAAATCCATTGAAAAATCTGAAACTGCACTCCTAAAAATGTTGTCTCTTTACCTTCCCGCGGTGCGTAATTGAAAACGTGAGTTGCGAGATATTCGCTGGGCGTACGTATTACAATCGTTCCCAGTTAATATTTTTTACGGCTCGTTTTACGAAGCGTGCATCAAGATATTAAATGTCCTCCACCAATTGCTTCGTTTCCAGTGTACACACGTGGAATCCATGCGTCGCAGTTAAAACATTCAAGTGAATCTATTTGAAATGTCAAGCACCAAATGCACATCGTCCCAAATCCAGGAAATCATCAGTGAGTCTCAATGCATTTGTTTAGGCCCTTCGTGCATTGGGATGTGATAAATCCACTATTTTTTTACATGATTATAATTTTTGTGTTTTGCATAACATCCAACAGGTTAACCATCATCATCACCAACATCATTATCAGCTCCCAGTCGTTTATTTTTATGTGCAGGCAGTGGCCGAGCCGTCCTTAAAAAAACAGCTTCTTAGCTCAATGGGCTATACGCGGTAAAATAAACTTCGGATTTTATGGTGGACATGGGTGGTGGGGAAGGGGGTGGTGGAGGCGAGGTGGGCCTCCCTCCCCACGTGACCCCCCCCTAGCCCCCCACTATTATTCAGAGTCAACTAATCGAGGTGACTCGGGGAGGCACTCGAATTCAAATCCCAGAGGTCGTCACGTCCAAATGCCGCGAATGACACCACATCCCCGGCCGCCATCGCTTCCTTCATCGTGAACACAGATCGCCGCAGCTGCTGTGCGTACGACATCCCTGACCCCCAAATGGATGCCTTTACAGCCCCCCGCGCGTATGGAGTTTTACAATGCGGGTGTGGATTTTAGTGTGAGCCCACCCCAAACCTGGGCGTTGCCTGCGAGCTCTGATTGCCACTGTGCGCAAGGCATATTTCCAACTCGTTGTTGTCAATAAACTAAAAACTAAAAACTAAACTATATTTTTTGTTATTTTACCAGGTAAGGCCCACTGAAGTGTATAGCCGTTTTCCAGAAGCGACCACCACAAATTATGGCTCAACGAAGTGGCTCATCATCGTGTAAAAATTCTAGCACGTTGTTTTTAGATGTGAAGGGGAAACCCGGAGGTCCCGGAGAAAAATCCACGCGACCATGTGGAGCGAGACATGCAAAGTCCAAATACACAGCAGGCGTCAGGGTCAGGATCCAACCCACGACCTCCTGTATACCAGGCGAGGTAGTTAACATCTCATCAGGGTCAGGATCGAACCCACGACCTCCTGTATAGCAGGCGAAGTAGTTAACATCTCATCAGGGTCAGTATCGAACCCACGACCTCCTGTATACCAGGCGAGGTAGTTCACATCTCATCAGGGTCAGGATCGAACCCACGACCTCCTGTATACCAGGCGAGGTAGTTAACATCTCACCACCGTGGCGCCCTCAAGGGTTGGTAGATCACATCGAGACTTTTAAAAACTCCAATCTCAAACCCCACCGGGTTACGAGGTGGTCACAGCGACTGTGTGCGTCCGCGAACCCATCTGCGCACAGCTGGAGTCCCCTGTGAGTGTGTTATCCCCTCGTGTGAGTGCCGGGTGCTTTTTCTCTTCCCATATGTAAAATATGATACGGTACAGTACTGTAGTATATAGCATACGAAACAATGGCTTGGTCATTTGGCCAAGCGTGTCATATCAGAACCCCTCCTGATTAATACTAACCTCGAGACTCAGTGTGAGGGTTTTGGCCGGATAAGTAACGTTCATCCACAGGCTGGTCCAGATGTCTTGTGACTACCCATTCAGTTCTATAAAATGTCTCTATTTTTTAAGTAAGATTTGTTTAACGCAGAAATGAATATGCAGCGGAAATAACTGTTCGGGGGTAAATTAATTGCGGGTCACACGATATCTGGACCACCCTGTGTATGGGACACCACTGTGGCGAGATGGTGGACCACCACAAGCACAGACAAAGATCCCCCTATAGGCTGCACAGACTATTGAGGCAAGTACTGTTCGCGAGCACGTATGAAGGCCGGCAACCCATCCCCACGAAGGGGTGGGTGGCCAGCACCACGCCCGGCCGCCTTTGTCTCCATTAGTGGCGATGTTTACACACCGCACCAGGTACTCATCTGAGGCTGAGTCGACCTAGGGGAGGAGGCTCAAGACCGATTCGGATAATCGCCACCGATGTTGGCCGTGACCGGCAATCGAACTCGGGTCGCCGGGTTCGTAGCGCAGCGTGGCGCACTAACCTCATGATTGGAGTACCCAGCACCGCGCGACGTAACGTAACGCAGCGTAACGTAACATAACGCAGCGTAACGTAACGCAACGTAACGCAGCGTAACGCAACGTAACGCAGCGTAACGTAACGCAACGTAACGTAACGTAACGCAGCGTAACGCAACGTAGCGCAACGTAACGCAACATAACGCTACATAACGCACCGTAACGCAACGTAACGCAACGTAACGTAACGCAACATAACGCAACGTAACGCAACATAGCGCAACATAACGTAACGTAACGCGACGTAACGCACGCGCCTCTGCGTGCCGCTCGGCAGGAACCCACCTTGACGCGTGCGGCTCGCATCTCCTCGCCCGCCTTGACGCACGTGAACCTGTAATTAGCGCAGCCGTTGTTATCCCAGAAGACGCCGTCGGGAGACGCGTAGCGAACGACCATCTCCACGGCGTCGCCCTCCTGCAGGGGCTCGTCCTCTCCGGGCCTCGCGAAGCTGCGGAAGACGAACTGCTCCGTCTCGCCGTCGAAGGTGTTGTCTACGGCGGTCGCCTGCACCTCCCAGTGGCTCCTCCACACGTCTCGGGACCAGCGCAGGTGCACGCGCTTGTCCCGAGACGAGCCGTGCACGCGCACCGTGCCGAGAACGGCGCCCGACTCGGACACCGCGAGCTCTTCCAGAGCCACCTTCTGCTTGCGCACCGCGTCCAGAAGCTCCGACGTGGAGCCGGCGAGCGCGAAGTCGGGTCTCGGGGCGACGGAGCACGCGGGTCCAGAGTGGCCGCAGTCCTCCCCGCGCTCGTCTGCGACTTTCTCCATCGAGTCCCCGCGGGAGAGGCGAAAGCCCGCGGCGTCGGCGAACAGAACTCGGCGTCGGGGTGTCGCGGTCGACTCAGTACCGAGGATGTTGTCCTGCTGCTGCTGTTGCTGCGGCTGCTGCTGTTGCTGTTGTTGCTGCTGCTTCGTACTCTTCTTCTTCCTGCTGCTGCTGCTGCTTCTGTTCAGAGCCGCGCGTGCGTTTCGGCACCGGCGACAGTCGGGACACCTTGAGGCCGACCGGGCAAATCGCGTGTTCGGAATCAGCGGATGCCTCCTGCTGGCCAAACTCGAATTCTTCCTCGGCCATTGTGGACATTATATATGGGATTGCCGTGGTGTGTGTGTGTGGTGTGTTTATTTAAACCCACTCACTCGCTCACGCAGAGCGGCGGCTAAAACCCAGCTGCTTAGGCTACACAAAGTGTATAGCCACCGCGTGCAGGCTCGACAACTTGCACGTGTAAGACGCGTGTGGTGTTACATGGATACAATTCTGCAGAGAGAATAACAACGTGCTAACAACTTGCAACTTTTGCGTGTGCACAAACTGCGATTTACCTGTAATGCATAAGATGCAATTATATAGGCGAGGCAAACCTCCAACTACCCCACGCGTACAGACTGCTATTTAAATACTATACAGTATGTACTTCCCGGTACAATATATACATGTACTGCACTGGATATTCTACTTCTGACTACTGCCTGCATAACACGTTCAATTTAAAGGCATAGAATGCACAGTGCATATGTAGCGTAGAGGCTACACGACTTGCAACGATTAAACATATCCAGCCTGTAACTTCAAATGTAAAGCTACACAGTGAAATTTCACAATCAGGATGCAGCCTCCTTTGCTTGCGATTCGTCCGAAGTGTGACTTAGATCTTGACCCTGTGTAAAGACAGCAGCTCGTTATACCACGTATTGCCACGCTCACGTGTATTCTACACTTTACACAGAATGCCACACTAAAGCGAATACTACAGTGCAGTGTATAGCTTATAGCCAGCAGTGGATACTGTCTAGCCTTTTGCCCAGCACACTCTAAGCTTTAGCCCTGCCTATACATAGAGCTATGCACAGTCTACAGTTTGCACAACATATAGCCAACACTGCATATACGTACACGCTACAGCTTGCGCCCTATGAATAGCCGACAACCAGGATCCAATAGCTATTAAGCCTAGAAAACCTTCCTGCAGCTTGCGAGGTTTAGTGCATGGCCTATATTTTGCTCAACCACCCCAACACGCATTCACCACGAATCTAGACAGATCACAGCCTATGTGCGCACTGCCTGCTCATCAGCAACACGAGCTCTCTTCCTTCCCTTGCCAGCTTTTACACGGATGACAAGGAGGACGGCTCCTTGCAAGACTCGCAAGTCGCCAGCGGCACACGCGTGTTGCGCGTGTCGCGTTACGGGTGACAGCACCTCGGTTTGCGTCCCGTGTGCTCACGCCACAACACGCACACACACACTCATAAGCAAACAAATAAATGAGCAACCAATCATGCAATGAAGCCGTGCGCAAACTTGTTTACAAAGTCGACACGAGTGTAGATGATAAGATCGATAAATACAGGCCGGGCATAGAGCGAGCAGAGATAGAGGCCTCTGTTTGTGGTGCAGGGCGCTTTTAGGCAATTTATTTTTCTAAATTTAAAACCGTTGGCATCAACAGTCTTGAACACACAGCACGCGCACACACACACCAGTGGGTCCCTGGTCCACACTACACGGACACGCTGCGCTCTTGCGTGCCAAGCAACTCTCCACCGGGAATTGGTGGCACGCACATTGTATCGAGCAGGACCCAGCATGGAGAGAAGCACGTTTCGAGACTCGACGAGGCTTTCTTGCGTAAATATGTCACGGACATTGATAAACAAAAACAAAGATGCCTCTTTCATTTGTTTCACTGGAGTCATTTTTGTTTTGCTGTAGCTGTTTGTTTTATTCCCCGTATTCTTGCACGCGTTAGCTTTTGTGCGTTTTCAAATGTACATTGTCCCATGCGTCCCTTGAAGAATATATTGTTTTCACCTGCCCAATTGACCTCCGCCACCACCAACTTCTTCGCGTGCCCCCCCCCCCCCCCCGGGCGCAGTTGCACCGCCTGCACACCCACAAGCTCAGCCACTGCAGGCCGTGCATGAAATGCACGCGGGCGCCCGATTTAGCAGCAAGGCTGTGGAGGCTATTTGGCGAATGTGTTGTGGCCTAACACCCCAGACAACCGGCAGTATACAGTGACGGACCCCTCTGCATTTAGACCGCAGCGTCAGCGGTCCTAGCGGCCGGCATCCACCCACCGCCGCTGTTTGTATCGAGTCTCGTCATCAGCCACCGTCAATCCACTGCTGGATGAAGGCCCTCCTCGTGTCGGCCGCGCGCCCCTCCGATGAGCGCGGTCGGCTACGTGCGGCACAGAGAAGGTTCAACGTCGCCAGGGCCCACCCGGTCCCGTGATGTCGCAATGTCCACGTGGCTCCCTGCACGCGATCGGATGTTGTCGCTTCTCATCTGTCGGGGATCGGTGGACCTCCTCTCTCTCGGGCGCCGTTCTCTCCTTTGACTGCCGCTCCGACATCAGCCTCGACCGGGGGGAGGGGGGGACCGGCAGGCACCGCGCCCGCAAAACTCTCCTTTGGCGACGCCTCTTGCCGAGGTGGCATCGTGAAATAAAAGTGTCAGTTCTAACACGTCGGCCAATTTTACTAATAATAAAGGGTTTTTTTTTGGGGGGGGGGGGTAGATCGCGTACGTATAAATGTGTCGTTTAGTGTTGTTTAAACTAAACTAAACAATTTTTTATTTGACCAGGTAAGGCCGACAGAGCTATATACATATTTTTTCAGAAGCGACCTGGCCACAAATGATAATTCTAGATTTGAAGCTTTCGTGACTGCAATGATTCATACTCTTAGTTTTTTCGGTAAAGTCACGTAGGTAAAAAACGAAAAAAAAATTAATACAAAGAAAATAATAAAATACAAATCACGACGTTTCGGAGGCAACACAAGTTTCCGTCATCAGGTGGGAACGTCACACGGCGTCACAAAAAGTCAGACCCCCCCCCCCTCAAATATGACGTCACAAAGCTCTGCCCCCCCCCCCAAAAAAAAACATGTGTCAAATCGCTTTAAACTATTGTCATTCTAGTGCGTATTGATGTTGTAGGAGAAAACATTTATTTAAAAAAAAGTCTATTAATTAAGTAGAACGTGTTGTCTATGTTTATTTAAAGTTGCGCATTTTGATGTGACGTCACATTTCTCAAACTCCCCCCCCCCCCTTACTATGGGAACCTCATTTGCCAGTAAAAATATGATAATTGGTTTTTTACCCTTCTATCTGGCAACAAAACTGACACCTTGTCACACATCGTCACAAATGTCTGACCCCCCCCCCCCTCCTAGGTGCGTGACGTAATTTATGGAGGGCCCCTTTTACTACTTAAGCACACCGGTGTATTGGAGAGTAACCCCACAATATTTACGATTCGAGTACGACGTTTCGCTGGTGATTACAACGTGTAGCAGTAGCTACACGTGTAGTATCTACTACATGTGTAGTAGTAGCTACAACACGTATATTAGTAGCTACACGTGTAGCAGTAGCTACACGTGCAGCAGTAGCTACACGTGCAGCAGTAGCTACATGTATAGTAATAGCTACACGTGTAGTAGCTACTTTTTCCAGCACCGCTAACATCACGTGCCCCGGAGAGGCAGTGTATGTCACACGTGGCGTGAGGCATCTTTGTCTTTGCGAGTGTCTCACCACGAGGTGGAGCTGTCAGGCAAGGCGTCACCGGCACAAAGGCCAACTCCCCAAATTGTACAAAAGCTGATCACCGTCTAACGGAGAGGGGGGGGGGGGCAAGGACATAAATGTTTGCGAGCACCTATTAAGGGCGATGCGTTAAAGAAACAGTTTACGTCAATAGGACTACACGCTTTACCTATTTAAAGTTGAGTCAACCTCGTGCAACACAGATTACGCTGCATGCCTTTTCACAAACGGCATGTACGCATGCAGACACGTCTCCACGTAAATTACATAAAGCCCCCTTGTCAATCCACTGCTGTGTCAGTCATGGATAGGTGGGTGTCGTTTTGACCATACTTCACCACGCCGGTACGTGTATGGGTTGGAGAGTGATGCTCAGGACCGGTAACAGATTATCGCTCGCCACTGATGTTCTTAGCCGTGGCCTGGAATCGAACCCGGCCCTTATCTCTGGGTTCACAGCGCCCGGGACGCTAACCACCACACATTATGCAATGTTAGAAATAGCGAACTACTACGCATTCTGAATGTACGGGGGTGTGTGGGTGGCTGGCTGGTACACAGGCACAGAAGTAAAACATAAGAGGAATGGGAAAAAAAGTGTAACTTTTGGGTGTTTTATTATTATTATTTCCACCAGTATACGTTTAGCAATTGCCGAACAACAGCGCACACAGAGACACACACGCACACAGCCACGAGCGAGGGGGATGTGTGTTATGTTGTGTTCTCTAAAAAAAATAGTTCCTTCTGCGAGCTGGCTGCAAGGGTCTGCACCAATGACTCTATCTAAAATATTTATTTTTTAAGGCGAATGGTTGAGGGGTGGTAGTATATGGGGGGGGGGTAAGGTTTTATTTTTCTCTTTTAATTTACAAAAAATTCTGTCTTCCTTTTTTCTATACCGTTCACCTCGACTCCCACCCCGACCATCACCACCACCACCAAACCCGCTCCATTCTGCCTTCAGATGGATCGTTGTTAAACAGCGGGGTTTTTCTCCCCCCCCCCTCTCTCTCCTTCGCCTCGAATCTGGAATGCATTTTCAGTCTGAATCAATTGCATGAAAGGAGCACAACGGGGCAAGAGGAGGTTTGTAGGGGGGTGAGGTATGGTATAGGATTATGTGGGCTGGCTGGAGGAGGACGAGAGAGAGAGCGTGGTTGGATGGTGGGTGGGTGGGTGGGCAGTGGTGGAGAGAGAGAGAGAAAAAGAGAGAAAAGAGAGAGAGAGCGTGGTTGGATGATGGGTGGGTGGGCAGTGGTGGAGAGAGAAAAAAAGAGAGAGAGAAGAGAGAGAGAGCGTGGTTGGATGATGGGTGGGTGGGCAGTGGTGGAGAGAGAGAGAAAAAGAGAGAGGAGAGAGAGAGAGCGTGGTTGGATGGTGGGTGGGCAGTGGTGGAGAGAGAAAGAGAAGGCTGGGCAGGGTCAGATATTCAAGCCCCACCGAAGTGTTTTGCTCCTTCTCCTCCTCCTCCTCTTCCCAACTCCGCCAGATTGACAGGCACGGGGCCACGTGCGGCACCCGGCACAATCCGCCCACGCGTGCGAGCGAGCCCAATGCAGCAGATGGTGCGGGAGCGTTCGTGTGGATTATTAAAGCAGAGGCGGTCGGCGGCAGCGTTGTTGTTAGAGGACTGTGGAGAGGCGGGGGGGCTCTGGGTGGAGAAAAGAACAGGAGGGGGAGGAGAGACGGGATGGAGATTGGGATTTGAGAGAGAGAGAGAGCTGAGCGGGTGCGGGGTGAAGTTATAACGAGGAGGTGGGATGCTTGGTTGGACAGAAAGAGAGGGAGCAGCGCGTTTTATGCGGAGTAGTAACTGTTGTCGTGAGCACGTTTGGGGGTGAAGGAGAGGGGAGACGGACGGGAGAGGACGCGGGGGAGGCGGTGCTCGGATTTGGTTTGGGGAAATGTCATCAAACACCGCGGCCGCTGCTGTCAGTTTCAAAATCGCTCCACGCGAATTGTCGCAACGCCACGGCGTTCCACCTTGGACCGCTCGTCATCACGCGTCTATAAATGTTTAGGTTTTTTTCTACGCAAAAAAACAACAACAACACACAACCCACACGCACAAAGACAGAGAGAGACTTTGACTTTTAAACAACTTGTATTACCGCCAGCAGCAAAAGCACTGGAGGCGATTTCGATATGAAATACACGAAGTCACCAGCAAACAAATGAAAATTAACGACAGAGAGAGAGAGAGTTTCCCCTGCGTATCGCCCCATCACAGAACCGTTGAGATAAATGTTGAGTTTGGGATAAATGTTGAGTGTGGTGTTGCCTTTCTATACAACACACACACCACGCACACCACACACACACCCCACACCACATACACCACACACCACACACACCACACACACCACACACACACACACCACACACACCACACACACACACCACACACACCACACACCACACACACCACACACACACCACACACACACCACACACACACACCACGCACACACACACCACACACACACCACGCACACCACATACGCACACACCACACACCACACACACCACACACACCACACACACCATGCACACACACACCACACACACCACACACCACACACACCACACACACCACACGCACCACACATAACGCACACACACCACACACACACCACACACACACACCACGCACACACACACACACCACGCACACACACACACCACGCACGCACACACACACCACGCACGCACACACACACCACGCACACACACACCACACACACACCACGCACACACACCACGTACGCACGCACACCACACACACACCACACACACCACACACCACG